CCTGCTGCCCCCTCTCTCATGGAAGAAAAATTCCAATCAGTTACCAGACCACATTTTATTAACAAAAATAACACTATGCAAAAAAATCAACCACAATTTCCCTTTCCCTGCCTGTGGATAGGTTAGTGTGTTGTGATCAGGTGTCTCACTAGTGAACCTCTATCTTTACTGTGAAACTGTCTCCTTATCAGGGAATGTGATAGGATGGTTGGATTATTGCCTTTCTGTGTGGTCACAGGGGAGAGAAGGTGCCTGGAAGTTTCCCTGTAGCTGGAAATGGGCTGTGCAAATGGAAATGTCAATTAGCTTTGGAAAGCTCCAGCCTGGCTCTTGTGCACTGGGGTGTGCAAACCTTTTTGATGATGTCAACACTAGAAAGCCATGAATTTTAGTCTTTGCAGCATGTAAGAGCAGGTGACAGATGCAGAAAAAGAACATCTGGCTACTTTTGGTATTGTCTACAATATATGCTTTAATTACTTTAGGCCTTCATTCATACTAGACATTAACATTTTTGGTTCCTGCTGGATCTAAGAGAACCCTTGCATGTTTGCTGCACTGAAAATTCTCTATGTCTAGTGTTGAAGGAGATGATAGTTTAGCTAAGAGGAAAATGTGGATTGGGAGCATCCCATCATTAGGTAAGATGGCACTGATCTAACTGGGGAGGGTGACAGGTCTGGGTGATGTTGAGCTGCCTGCAGTCACCTCTGGGCCCTCTGTGTTCCCTCAGCTGGTAGCAGACACTTCCTGAAGTGTGTGTGTTCTGTACCCCCAGTGTTCATTCCATAGGTACTGTTTTATATGCAGGCAAGCACGTTGTAAAGATTAGAAAATTGAACTCAGTTTAACAGTTTGTTCAGGTCAGGCTGTGTTGGTAACACAGCTTTGGGTGTGGCACTCGGGTTGTTTTTCAGTGTTTTGGCTTTGAGCTCAGTTCCCTGCTCTGTACTTCAGTCTGTAGCCACCATGTAATAGGAAGGGAGGGAAAGATGCAAAGTCTTTCAGCTCCTGACACCTGAACTGCAGGCTTTGTTTCCTTCTGCTCAGTGTTTGAAGGTGCTTAAATAAGAAGGAAACTAGGGCTTAGGTGTCTTTTCAGCCTCTCAAAGTTCCTTTTGACAGACACAAAACCTACAGTACCTTGAGTGTAAAGAGATACTAACGATGTGGGAAGTGTCAAAAGAAGCATCTGTCCTGGATCTTGGCACGGGCTCTAACCTCCATTGTGTTTGTAGATATCTTTCAGCCAGCAGCACACTGGAGGACTGGAATGAAAAATTAACTCAATCAGAAGCGTGAGTGTCTTAACCTTCAGCATTAACCAGTGCTTTCCTGCCAGTCTGCTGCCACTAACATCCTATGCCCCTGCTGGCAGTCCTCTGCTTTGACTAGATCTAATTAAACGGTTCTCTTTTCTAGCTTTCACTTTTTTAACCCAATAAATGCCTCTTCTAGGGGAGGGAGCTTTTCCTCAGGTCAGTATTTGAATGATTTCATTGTGGTCCAACAGAGTGGTCCTCAAAATACCTGCCTACTCTGGAGCAGAACTGGCTGAAGCCCTTGGGTGGCTGAGACCTGTGTGCCACATGCTATGGCTTCAGCTGGCAAGGTGTGGAATAGCCAGACTGTCCTGATTCCCCACAACATGCTCCACAGGGAACAGGACCTTTACTTTCTGTTGTGGTACCTGATGAGAACAAATGGAGCTGCAGTGTCCAAGGCAGCTGCTCTGTCCTGCTGGGGCCTCAACTGGACTGGAACAGCTTAAACCTCACAGCTGTTATATGCCAGTTGGTGGCTGCAAAGGTCTCTCAGCCATGTTTTTATTAAATGCCTGGGATTAAATTCTCATCTGGATTAGAATATGGAAGCATATTATGGAAGTTGGCCTTTGTCCTGCTCACTGCTTCTTCCCACAGTATGTAAGGAATCCTTTGCAGTGCTGCAGTGGGAGCAGGCAGCTGGTGGCTTTGTTTCCTGAGCTGGTTTAAGCCATGGAGAGGAAGGTCTTAGGTTATCCAGCTTTTCCTGTTCCCTGGAGTGGGTATGAAATTGTCCTTTGAGCTGGCTTGTTCTTGGCTTTGTGTGTGGAGAGAAGGTTTTCCTCATAAGAGAGCTGAGTGGTGATAAAAAGCAGGAGTATCAGGGGGACCTTTGAAGAATGCAGCTTCTACTTCCAATGCTCCATATATCTTTGCTAGATTAAGAAGATGTAAATTGTCACTATTTCACTTGCTAAATACAATGACCTTGGGTTTAATGCTTGCTGACAGAGTGCCTGACTCCAGCAGTGTTTAATCAGTGTTCCTCCCTGGGTGTGCCTGCTGGAATCAAAAACTTCTTATATCTGTTTCCTTGTACTTCATAAGCCCCAGACCTGGGGCAGGAACGGGCAGTTGTAGAGCAGCCCAGGCCTGAAGAGCTGTGGGATGATAGTTTTTCTGCTTGCTTTGGCACTGGGCAGAGGGACAATTCCTGTTGGTGAGGTGGATGCTGATTAAAATGGAGAGGCAAGAGGGCTTGCAAGGTGAAATTCCAGCTGTGTTTCAGTAAACAAATAGAATTTCTGCTTCCTTTGTCTGAAGCTCAGTAAGTGTGAGGAGTTGAGTTCAGGAAGCCCAAGATGAGGTTTTATTCCTGTGTTTTGGGTTTGTTATGCAAAAGCATCCTTTTCCCTGTCCTTTGGGCTTCACTGCTTTATAGCTAACAAGCATCCTGACTGGACTGGGAGTGGGCTTGATGGTGTTTTTGTGCACTCCTGAATTCCCTGGTAGTTGCCATTCCTGGGCACAGACTTGCCCTCTCCAAGCAGCACAAGGAGAGGACAGAAATCAGTCCCGTCAGTCCCCAGCTCCAGTTTCACTGTAACCAGGACACAAGAGGATGTAGATGGTTTATGTCTGTAGCCAGACAGCACAAACAGTGATTGCTGGGTGAGAGGAAGCTGGTGTTAATGGATAATGGAGGATTTGAGGATGTCAGGATGGATAGGAGAGGGGTGCAGTGAAGTGTTGGAATACCACAGGATGAACACCAGGGCAGAGATCACTCCTGCAGCTTTTGCTGCAGCCAGTTGCCTGTTAGTAGAGCAAGGTGTTAATCAGAGCTCATATTTATTACTCCCAGATTTGGATTATTCTGTTGTGCTTTGTACTGGTAATAAGTGAGGAAGAAAGTGAGTGATTGTGAGTTCAAAGCCCTGGTAGAGCTGGCCCTGTCACTTGCAGGAGAGCAGCTGCAACTTCTAGGTCAGGGCTGGGTGTAGTTGAGTTGCACTGGAGTCTTGTATAATCTGATCCCTGGTTGTCACAGATGCAGTTCCACACGTGTGTGTCTGGTGGCAGTTCTGGGTTAAAGAGCTGTTCACCTCAGCTGTGCTTTCCTGGCTCTGCCTTCTGCATTTCAGTGGTGGAGGTGTGTGTGTGTGTGTGTGTGAGCTGTGGGTGCAGGACTAGACTGGTGATCCCAGCTGGCTGCTGCTTTTTTTTTTTTTGTTCTTCCAAGTTTCTATTTCAGCTGGATGGTTTCCTTGATCTAGATCACTGTGTCAGCACAAGCAGTTGTGTTGGCATCATGAAGAAGCAGCACTTGAGTGCTAGATCTTCAGTTATCTGAAGAAAGCTGCTGTCAAGTGTGGAAAATACAGTTGGAAAAATCTCTGGCCTTTATCTACAGAAACCAGACATGAAGAGTTTGCAGTGTGTGAATGGGGTGATGGTGTCCTCTGAGTCTAACCCCTTCCTCTGTTTGCTGCCCTGGTGCTCGGGGCCGAGTGTGAAGCAGCCACAGAGTCAGCACAACACACTGCAGGGGCACCAGGTCCTCCTTGTCTCTGTTAGGCAGCTGCAGCCAAACCCCATGGCAGCCATAGAGGAACCTGCTGCTGGGGCAGGGATTGGGATCCTCCTCTTCCACAGCAGCTTTGGCCCCAGGGTTCAGCCACAGCTCTTGCCATAGGAAGGCAGGGTTGGAGCAGTGTTGGTGCTGCCCAGTTTACCCCTTAATTGTCCTGAGCTGATGACTTCTTGCAGAAGGTTGTGCTGGGGAGGAGCAGTGTTGAGGCCTTGCTGCTGGGACAGGCTCAGATTCTTCTGCAGTCACTGCATTCGAGTGGAATTAGTCTGAAAAATGAGAGGGTTACAGAAATTTTCTTGCAGGAGCAGGAAGGGGGAAGGTAAAGCTGAGGCAGTTTTGCCCTGTTCTGCATGAGTGTTGTGTACATTCTTGATTCAGAAAAACTTGGCTGCAGTCTTAAAAACAAACAAAACCCAATAAACCATGTTCTAATTGGTGTTGCTTGAATCCAGCTCAGGTGCTGTCTCCCACACTTCTGTCAGGAGAGAATAAAACAGATAACATTAAAGTAAATAAGTCAGCTGTTATTATGGTGCTTCTGGCCTTGGGAGCTTGAGGGTGAGAGAGAATGTTGGGCTGTTCATAATGACCTTCTCCTAAATATCCTAGTCAGGCAAATAAAAGTAACCTCATGCTGAAATATTTGGCATTAGAAAACTTGGCTTTACTTGCTGATATTGTTTTCCAGCCTGAGTTTTTTTTTTAATAATTTGAAGAATGCTATACATCTCTATTTTAATCACCAACTGTGGAATAACTTAGAGAAGATGAGTTAATGAAAGGAGCTCAAAGAACCTTTGTTCCCAAGATTAGTCTCATCTGAAGGAAACAAAGGTTCTCAAGTGTCTTTCTTCCACAGCTCTGGTATAAAACCAGACATGATCAGCAGACAAATCAAGCTGCCAGACTCCCTGTATATTGTGGTTAATGGTAACTGATAGGAAGCTTCTCTACCCATTTATTTCTAAGCTGCAATTTGTAGAGGTGATGCCTATCCCCCTGTTTCTGTTCTAGAAGTTGTGCCTCTTTCCCCCTTAACCCAGCACTACATCAATGCCTATAACTACTTCAAGGCTGCAAGCAGCTCATGGAATATGTTCCTGGGCTTACTTTTCCAAGGAGACCCAAGGACAGTTGTAGAGCAAATAGGATACAATCCTGTGGTATTAGGGTGTCCACATGGAAAACTGGGGCTTGTTTTTTTCCCCCCCGATTGTTTGTCAGATTTAAGAACAAATGGTCAAAATGGTAAAGTGAATGTATGGAAGGGTTATTCCTACACTTACTACCTTCCTAAAACGTCCAGTCATGGAATATTTGCAAGACTGGGAGGCTGTCATGCAGGGAAACCAGTGCAGCTCACTAACCTGGCTTCTTTCCTTTAATATGGGTTCCTTTTTCAAATCTGGGGGGCTGGTTTCAGATCCTACCTGATAGTTCAACTTACAATTATTTTTTTTCTTCTGTTTAGTTATAAGAAGACCCAGGAAACCCTTTCCCAGGCAGGACAGAAGACTTCAGCAGCTCTCTCCAATGTAGGTTCTGTTATCAGAAGGAAACTTGGTGACATGAGGTAAGGTTTCTGTTTTGCACTCTGGTACTTTGATCTTGGTTTCAAACAATAATGAGACTTCAGACAACAACCAGGCTTTTCTGCTTAGTTGGCAGCACTTTGCTGCTGCTGGACTGCCCTGTGGCCCTGTGCATCCTAGTTGAGGACAGATTAAATGCTTATTAAAGACTTGTTGATGGGATAAAACCTGTTCTAAGGCATTTAAGTTTGATTTGGCTTAAGAGGACTGACAGGGCATTTTTAGCAGCCTTCCCCCTTTTACTGTCATCTGGTTTGACTGCAGATTTTAAGTTATATATAAGAAACAAGTATTAAAGCTTAGCTATCCTATGTATTACTGGCTTATGGAGGTGTGTTTTCCCAGTGTTACTGCTTAGGATTAGAAAGGGGTCATCACTTTTGTGCTGTTATGCTTAAAAATGGGGCAGAGTCTGGATGCTGCATCTCAAGCAGTTTCAAGCCCTGTGTGACACTGGAGAAGGGCAATGTCCTCCCAGGCACAGCTGTGTCATGTGGATTGAAAGATTGATTTAGACAATCAGGACAGCAGTAAAGATTTCTTGTGCTTGGTGGTTATCTGGATTCCTTGAGTAGATGATGAGCAGTGCAGTAGCTGCAAATGTAAACCTCCCTGAACTGGCAACTGGAGGGGCTGGTTCCCTTGGTTCCTGGCTGAGGTTCTTGCTCTGAGTTTCTCAGCTGTACAAAGTTCAAGGTTAGACTTGGCAAGTTGCCTGATCTACAGAAATTTAAGGTCAAGATTGCTTCTCCATTGATGGCAACATCCAAGTTGCACAATACCTCTTTCTTGGGATTGAGAGCTACTTCTGAATCCACAACCTGCCTGGGTTACTCAGGAAGTATCTTAGAGCTTGTGTTTAATGTGATGTACCAGACCTTGGATTGAATGGGTAGTTGTCATTCTTTGTAGGGAATTTCCTATTCCACTGTGGCTGGGAATATCCAAGTGGTAAGAACTCGTTGGCCTCTGATCACTCAGCACTGATGTATTCTACTTCTCTCCTCAGCAAGTTATTTACTGTGTTCCTGGAGGGTAATTTTTGTTTTTTCAGTAGCTCACTTCTCTGAATCTGGCAGGGGACTGCCTGGCTTCCTGCCCTTGCCAGTATTCAAGTTCTAACTTTTCTTCCCTGGAAACCACCTAGTCTGTAGGAAGAAGAAATTCACATGTCATCACAGGAGGTCAGATACTGGTGCAGGATGTGGTGGCCACAGATTTGGTGCCTGAGCTGTGTAGTCTGGTCAGGCTGAGGCAAAGTGGTATGGGAGCTGTGCCTTTGAGCCAGTTGGGGAGCTCCTGAGCCAGTGTTGCTATCAGAAGAGGCTGCTTTGGTCAGCTAGGTCCTGCCTGTTGTCTTCTGGTTGGGAGGCTCCCAATTAGCCATGAAATGGTTGTAGTCCTGAAGGCAGAGCCTGGCACAGTCACAGTGACAACTGGCTGTACACTCAGCTGGCCCAGAAACACGTCAGCTTTGCAGCAATGGTGTTGCTCAGCATTAATCACCAATTTGAGCACCTGCATTCCTTTTTATAGCTAATACCTCAGGTGATGTGTTATGAAATAGAGGCAGCTTCTCCCTTCCAGTGTGGGAAAAAAAAACAGCAGGATTTGCTTTGTATCCATGGCCCTGTGGGGGAACACAGTAATGATTTTTTTACGACTTTGTTTTTCTGTGTGTGTGTAAACAGACTTCTGTGTCCTGTGCTGCGTTCAAGTCTTGATATTTCTGATTCTGCATAAGGTTTAACTCTGAGCATAAGCTTCTGCAGGAGCTGTCCCACTTTCTGCCCTTGCTAGGTGAAACTGAGCTGTGGTCTGATCCATGATCAGAGCTGAGGAGTGAAGTCTGTTCCGTGATCACTTCTCTGAGCGAGCGGGGATGATCCCTGTTCCCAGAGAATCTCGTTACAGGCCTCAGAGCCTGCACTGCAGCCTCCCTTACTGTGTGCTTTTTTTTTTTCCCCACTGACACTACAAATTCACTTGTAAAGCCATTTTGTTTTCCATCACTGGAAGTGTTGAGATAACAGAAGGGATTTCCTTGTTTACTCAGCCACCGCTGGCCCAGGAGTGCAAGGAAGGAGTGATGAATGGCACAGATCCCTGGGCTGCAGGGAGGGTGTGGTCCTAAGCCATTAAAAATGCTTGGACCAAAATGCTGTGAAATACAAGGAATGCATATTGGGGTTTAATCTTTAGGTTTGCTGTGTGCTGGTCAAAATAACTTTAAAATTACAGGTGGGGATTGCAAGGAGACATGGTGGAGTTCATGTGTAACTGTGCTGACTGCACGAGTGCTGCTGCTCTGCTAGCCTGCCTGGAGTGGGGAAAGTCTAGCTTCATTTGTGGGATCTTTTCCAAATCTTGGACATTTCAGCTCTTTTCTGTTATCTCCACTTACAGTTAAAAATTAAATTGGCTTTTAGACAGTCTGTGCCTGTATTTTACTGATGCCTGTAAACTGCAGAGTTGAAAGTGGTTTTTTATTTGGTTGATAACAACTTGCTTTGGGGTTTTGTGACCTGCAGTGCACTTTGTGTTGTCTGACACTTGCTGCTGTACATGACACTACAAGCAAATTCATGATGAAATGTTAGCCCCAGCCCTGAAGGTGCCTGCAAATTCCTGAATTTATGTAAACTTGAAATTCCTGTGAAAGGAAGAAAAGGGCTACTGCAAGGTGCAGGCTGAGGAACTGAACACACCAACCAGTGCTTGTGGTGCTGTGTACAAAGCAGCAGGGTGCATGGACCTGTGGTATCTGTGTTCTCCTTTAAGTAAGAGTAAGTAGAAAGTTAATTTATTTCACATGCAAAGATAGCATTTCAAGGACTCTGCCCTGCCAAAGAGCTGACTTGGATGCACAAGGAATTGAAACCACAAAGCCTAACATCTTTCTGACTGTGAGGAAAAGCCCTTGTTCTCCTTGCCAAGTACTTCACATCCAACTTGCTGTGGCTGCTTCCTGCTGCAGAGACAGAAGTTATATTTAAGTGGAATAAAACACTGCTTCTGGTAGGAGAAGTCCCTTTAGAGCATCCTGTTGATGTTACTAGTAGAAGTGGCAATCCTTGGTCTGTCATTTCAGACTACTGAGATGCTGCTGCATAGCAAGATCACATGTGGAAATCTGGTAGCCTAGTGGGGCTTCAGATTTGCCTTGAAATCTAAAAATTGGCAACCACGTTGTGGGGTAAACATGATGCCTTTTATCCAGATACACTTATCTTTACTATGGTGAGATGTGTTTGTTCTCTGAGCTTTAACTCTGAAATCCACAGGCTTGGCAAGATAAGGTGCAGGTATCCATTGCAGGTTCCTGTTACAGAAGTTCTCCTCCAAAAGTCTCAGCAATCCTTTCTTTGTATGAGATCTCCTGGGGGAAGGAGGTATCTTTGCCAAATTAGCTGGTGCTTGGTGAACACCTTCACTTTAGGAAAATATGTTCTAAAAACAAGATATAAATAAGTCACATGAAAGTCATGGATAGGGATGGGTAAAATGTGGGGGTTTTTTTGATTTTGTTCTTGCACAGCCACTCCTGTCCCTCCCCTGGCTCCTGAGTTGCTGTAGGTGCTGTGGTTGTTTTCTGAAAGACCTCTTAGCTTGGCTTGAGTTAAATTGGTTTTTTCCTTACTTCTGTGATTTCTTTTGGGAGGTTTCCTCCTGGGTAGGTGACTCTGCTGCCCCATGACCTTGTCCCTGCTCAGCTGCCCTGCATTTAGCATTTAGATCTGCACAAGTGTCTGACTGTTGTTTCCCTTTTCTCTCTGCTGCCTGTGGCTTCTCCCAGGGCTCACCCCTTCTCCAATTCCTTTAGGTAAGATATTCCTCAAGGCTACTGAAGAGCACTTGTTTCTATGCCAGGCGTTAAAGGGGAAGCTGATTCTTTAAGCCTTGCCTACACTTTTGACACAGATTGAGAAACCTGCCATGAGCCAGTGCCCTGTAATTGGCTTTTTGTGTCACAGTTGCAGTTTGCAGTTAAATGCTTCTGCTTATGTCTCATATCTGGAAAACGATGCCTGGAAAACTTGAGTTCTGGGCTGCAGCTGTTAATGGAGGAGAGGGCTGGCTCTTACAGCTTTGGTTATCTGCATCAGCCTCTGTGGGAACAGGAGGTGTTTAGGAGCCAGGGTTGTGCTGCTCCTGTGGGGTCTGTGTGCAATTGTCACTAACTTTTCCTTCCTTGCCCTGCACGCTTCCGAGCAGCAGCTACTCCATCCGCCACTCGATAAGTATGCCAGCCATGAGGTAATGCAGCAGTGCCTGGGGTTGGTGGGGGAGTACAGCTGACCTCTTGTTATGGGCTTTTTGGTTCTGATGGGTACAACTGGTTCACTTCCTAGGCAGGCCCCCCTCGGAATGTGGGGTGACCATGTCTTGCTGTTTGAGTAACTCAGGGGGGTTTTTTACCCAGTCTCTTTCTGTGGTTATTAGCCCCTGTGTTGTCCTTGGACTAAGAGCAGTGTTGCAACTGAATGGTCTCACTGAAATTCCCAGCCCTCAGAGGTCCCTGAAGGGTAGGGATGACTGTCCCCCCCTCTCACAACATCTGGGATGGATCCCAACCTGGACCCTCTGTCTCCAGTCTGGAAGCTCAGCACCCTGCCTGGTGTGCCCTTGTTGTGCTTTAGGTGAGATTCTCCTTGCAGGAGAGACAACTGCCAGAGCTGGATGAGGCCCAGTGAAGCTCTCCCTCTGTTCGTGCTCATTCCAGAGGTTATTTTATGGGTGCAAATAGAAGGTGTTTATTTGGAACAAGCCTAACTGAGCTGAGTCTCTCCCAGTGCTCCCACAGCCTCGCCTGGGGAGAGCAGCTCTGGGTGAGTAATTGCCCACTCGGAGGGCTGGGTACAGAGCACTCCTCTGGAATCATGCACAGGGAAAGCAGCTTGGCAGGTTATCAAACAATTGACCTGGTTTCCTTTGCTAGAAATAGGAAATCTTCTGATTAATTTATTTCACTGTGGTTTTGATGAGTGTTTCCTGATGCCAGTGATCTCTCCTCCAGCAGTGGAACTCCCCACAGGTACAGGCACAGGCCCTGCCCCTTCCTGCCTGCAGGGTGTCATATGGGAAGCTGAAGCCTTTGTTTTAAACCCTTTCCAGCTTTTCCTTTCCATTATTTAAGACAGCACACTTTCAGTTGGAGGCCTTCTAGCACTAAAAGCTGGATTATTCTCTACTGACCATGTGTCAATTCCCTGGTGAACTGGGGTTTGTTCCCATCAACATTTTAGCTTGAGCAATTGAGTGGTATGAATGTTTTCCTTCAGAGTTTGGATGTGGTGTTCTTGTCTGGTGTGCCTGAGACATTTGTGCCAAGGACTGTGAGGAGCTGGAAGTGTTCTGGGTGCTCCTGCCCCTGCTTGGGAATGGCCAGAGAGCCCAGGCAGGTGGTAGGATTGATTGATTTAATAACTAACTTGTCTTAATTTGTTCTTTTTTTTTTTTTTTTTTTTCCCCCTTTTCCTTTCTTCAAGGAATTCTGCAACCTTCTTTTTGTGTATTTTTCTGTGGCATATTAAAAAAAAAAGTCATTGCTGGGGTTAATTTCTTGCTGTGACATTTCCTTATCAAAGGCACATTAAGTCTGTTGGTACTTCGAGGTGACTGCTGAGTTGATTAATCAGTTTGATGCTTCTCATTTGTGAAGCTTCTTAAATGAAAGGCGTGCTCTGAAGGATGTGTTACAATTCCTTATCTGTCCTAGACTGATGCAGAAAAGCATTCCCAGGTTGAGCGGAATTCCCTGTGGTCCGGGGATGAAGTCAAGAAATCAGACGGAGGATCCGACAGCGGCATAAAAATGGAGCCAGGATCTAAATGGAGGCGGAATCCCTCTGATGTGTCGGATGAATCTGATAAAAGCACTTCTGGTAGGAAGAACACTGTTATTTCACAGACGGGCTCCTGGCGACGGGGCATGTCAGCTCAGGTTGGCATTACCACACCAAGGACTAAACCTTCAACCACCTCAGGCACATTAAAGACACCTGGAACAGGTGAGAGAAGGTGTAAGATATAAACAAGCCAAAAAGTGTGTTCAGTATGAAAACAGTTTTAAGAGTTTCCCAGGCAGAACCTGAACTTCAGGTAATCCTGTCTTTATTTTTAGGTTTCCCCTTTCCTTTCTTCAAGGAATTCTGCAACCTTCAAGTCATTTGAAGACAGAGTTGGGACCATAAAGGTAACAGCCTGCTCTGCCTTTGTTTTCACATACAAGGTGAAGCCTTATGCAGAAACTTTAACTTCTGCAATGTTTTTCTTGTAGAGTAGTAATCAGGCAAGTGGCCCCTCAGATATGTCTTTGCTACAGCAGGTGACCTTGACAAGGGATAACTGGCTTGGTATTCAGTGCTGGCTTCTTGTTATCCTAACTCTCTTCTCTCCTTTCAGTCCAGAGTGGTGGGCAGCAGGGAAAACAGCAGTGACTGCCTCCACTCCCCCTTGGGAGCTGGAGAGAAGCCTCCCCAGGACAACACTCCCTTCTAGACCTGTGGTGTGGCTGTGCACGACTGGGAGCAAGTCCCCCCTTCCCTCCCTCCCCAGTCTTCACAACAGCAACAACATGCAAATCCCAGGAAGGGGCTGAGAGCCAGTCTGGAGAGATCCATCCTTCATTCATAGACTGCTGCTGGATCTAAGTCAAATAAAGAGAATGCAAAGTTTTGTACACAAATAATATTTTACACTAAAGTTTGTAGGTTAAATGTATCACTGCTGTCCTTTTGGGAGAGCATGTAAGAGGAGTTTCCTTTCAAGTAGCTCAGAAATGCCCCTGGTGGAGATAAAAAACAGTTTTCCCTTGTCTGAGATAACTTGGAACTGACATGTTGCCCTGAGCAGTGTGAGGACAGTTACTGGAGAAGCCAAGTGCACGGGCATCTCAGCTTCAGCTCCTGACTGTGCTCTCTGCTCAGGGCATGTCATGCAGCTACTCGTGAGCTCCCAAGCTTCTCCTGTTACTGTTTTCTGCAGCTCTCATTGGAGTAAGTCTGATAAATGGGGTAAACAGTTCTGTTTGTTGTTCAGCTGTGTTGTTTTTTTTCTGGGCTCCCATAAGGGAAACTTCACTCAGCAGCTGCCTCGTTGTTACACTAATGCTCTAGCTTTACCAGAACTAAAAATCTTTATTTTTAAATGCAATGAACTTTAAACAAATAAAGCTTAAAAAAAAAAAAAAAAGCAGCTTTGGCATCATATTAGGGAATGGACTCTGAAATGGAACTGCAAGCCTTTCATCACCTTATGCTTTACTGGTTTATGGTTTTTTTTCTGTAGAGGAGGCTGTCAGGCTGCTCAAGCTGGATGTTGACCACAGGTTTGGCATCGTGCAGGAGCAGCAGCATGCTGGGCAGCCCAGCCTTGTGTTCCTTTCAGTGGTGCACTCCTGTTCCTGAGTGTATGAAACTTGCTTCTCCCTTCTCAGTTTACACCTTTGTTCTTGGAGGAAGAATTCCTGAAGGCTGCTGGCAGCAGAGCAAGATGCAAAGGGCCAGAGCTGCCCCCAGCAGTGTGGAGCTGGTGTTGGAGGGACTCTGCTCTCTGCAGGCTCCTCCAGCTGGTAGATCTGATGGTGACTGGATGGGTTTTTCAGCTGAAAGCCCCAGCTCTGAGCTTGGTTTACAAAACTGGCACAGAGTCACAGAGCTCAGCCTGTTCTCCCTGGGTGTTCTGCTCATTTGATGTCCAACTTGGTTGCTCAGGAACTGAAAAATTCTGAGTTTTATTCTAGAGGCCTGAACTTCTAGGCCAGGTGCCTCCACACAGACATACCTAGAGTGAGCAATTCTGTGCCTTAGAGGCGAGGTGGGACTTACTCAGGTCTTTAGGCTTATGTACATATCTGGGTCATTTTAGTGGTTTATCCCCCTGGAGGGACTGAATTGTCTCTGATCCTTCTGTAGAGAAGCAAGTTTTGACACTTATCTGCTGGTTAATTCCCTTTCCCTCACCCCTGCTCCCCTCCTGCAGACCTGGGGACACAGAGGAGCTGGTAGAAGGCAGATGTACTGGGGGGAGTGCAGTGTCATTTACTGGTGCTCCCTGTTTGGAACTGGCCTCCCTGCGGGGAGCAGAGCTGGCAACACGGGGGCTGCTGGAGCTTGGGTATTGAACTGGTTCTTTATACAGATAACTAGTGAGGAAACCTGTCAATAAAGCATCCTTTGGGAGAAAATGGGGTCAATGTCCTTGTCTTGCTCTATCCAACAGTACTGATGTCTGCTCTTGGGTGTGTGTTACAAACTTGTCAGGCAAACACCAACAACGTGCAGTGCCTTGAGGTGAGAAGCAACTAAAATACTCTGTTCTGACCCTCTGGCTTGTTTGTCCATCAGCTCTCTGGGTGCTTTCTCACAAAGGGATGTGCTAAATAACATTTACAGCCTGACTTTTCAACATTCTGAACACCAGCTGCTTCCTGACACACACCTGTGCTCAGCCATGGTCCGGGGAATCACAAGCCCACACTTCTCCAAGTTCCTCCCTTCAAGGCAGGTGAACCAGATGTTCCTCCAGCTCCCTCACATTTTTCCCAAGCTTGGAGTGTTGGACTGGGGTGGCAGTGGTAACCTTGGCAGGGGGGGCTGAGGCTGGAGCAACTTCTAATGGGGAAGAGCAGCAGCTGTGGTGCTGGCTTGGGTTTACAGCACCATAGTGCAGGGAATCAGCTTCTGGGAAGCTCTAGAAGTCACTATGGATTTAAAGGGCATGGTGCAGGGGGAGCAGTGAGTGTGTGACTGGGGTTGGGAGCTGTTCTCTTAAATGGAGAAGGACAGTGGAGAGCAGGCAGGTGGTGAGTGAGGCTGCAGGTGCTCTGTGTGCTGTGCTGCCAGAGGAAGGATGCCTTGGGTAGGTTTGAAGCATCTGCCTGGTGGTGAGCGTTTGGTTTTGTGGGGCTTGGGGGTTGGTTGGTTGGTTTGTGTGGAGGGTTTTTCTTTTGCTGCTTCTGTAGTTAAACCTACACCTCTGCAAAGGGGTTGGGGTGATGCCCAGTCCTGGAGAGACGCTGCAGGGAGCTGTGGAGCTGGGGCTGTGAGTTCCTTCCCCTGCCAGGGCCCCAGGGTGGAAGCATGATTTTCCACCTCCCCGGTCTCTTCCAGTGAAGGATCTTGGGTGTTTTGAAGGCAGGTTAATTAAGTTTTCCCTTCCTGGTTACAGGCTTGTACCTTGTTTTTGTCATTTCTCACTTCCTAAGCATGCTCCTGCCAGCTTCTGTGGGTACAAACCCCTGGTTTCCTTCAGGGCTGGGCTCCAGACTGCGTGCAGAGGACAAGAGCAGAGGGGGACGTGGCTTCCTTCCCTGCAAAATCCCAGGATGAGGAACATACGAAGCCCCAGCAACCTCGTGAGCACCTGCCTGCTCTGTTGCAGCTGGGGGAGAAGGCTTTGACAGCAATAATCCTGTTCATCCCCTGCCAACAGCCTCGGGGGGCCAGAGGGGCCCCGTGTCCCTGGGTACCTCTCCTGTGACGTTGGAGCCTGAAGAGGGTTTGTCCTGGAGCTTTTTCAGAGCCACTTCTCTCTTCCCTCAACTGAAACTCCCCAGCATTAAACCCGTGCCGAGGGGACCAGCACAGAGACCCCTCAGTGCTGGGGTTGTCACCAAACCAGCCTCTCTTTCCTGCTCCTCCGGTTCTTCCTCTTGGTTTTCCTTTTCTTTTCCTCGTCGCTGAGGACTTGCTGGGCCCCCCCTGACCTTTCCCGTGTTTGGGGGGGTCTGTACTGAGCTGACAAGAGGTTTTTCCCCCACTGGAGCCTCCGGTGCTGCCCCAGGAGGATGTTCCGTCGGTTCCCGCTGCTCCCGGTTGTCCCTGCCTGCTCCGAGGTGCCCAGCACAGGGACAGGTGATGCAGGTGGCCCCTTCCCAAGGTGTTTCCAAGCTGGGTGCTCCTGCAGCTGTGTCTGCTGGGCCAGGTCCTGCTGCTGTGGCAGGGAGCAGGCCTGGGTGGATTGGTGTCCTGGTTTGAGCCAGGATGAAGCCAATTTTTCTTTTTACTGATTTTTTTTTCCTTCAGCAAGCTTTCTTGTAACCAGCAACAGTGTGTTCTGCTAGGCTGATAAGACAGTGGAATGTTTTTCTAACTACTGAGGCTTCAAGGCTGCACCTGCACTCTGCCAGCTCAGACACTATGGGGAGATCTGTGACCCCCCTGTAGGAGGCTGAGTTAGACAGACAGCAAAATTGGCCAGAGATATTCCGTTCCATATATCTACGTGAGCTCAAAGGAAGGTCAGAGATCACAGAAGACAACTTCCTTCCTTCTTCTTCTCCCCTTCTCTTCCGTCCAT